CTTCAAATATCTGAGAATCCACTTAACAGCTTCCCAGTGGTCCTTCCCTGGATTAGAGAGAAACCTGCTCACCACACCTACTGCATGAGCAATATCTGGCCGTGTGCACACCATTGCATACATGATACTTTCCTACTGCTGAAGAGTAGGGAACAACTGCCATTTTCTCCTTTTCTTCATATGTTTTTGGACACGACTCTTTGCTCAACTTGATATGATTGGCTAAAGGTGAGCTTACCGATTTGACTGCTTTCATGTTGAACCTTTCAAGCACCCGTTCAACATACTTTTCTTGTGACAGCCACAACTTTTTGGATTTTCTGTCACGAATTATATCCATGCCCAAAATCTGCTTGGCTGGCCCTAAGTCCTTCATGTCAAAGGACTTAGATAACTCTTCTTTGAGCTTTTTAATCATAGAGGTATCTTGTCCGACAATCAACATGTCATCAACATAAAGCAATAAGATGATGAATTTACCTCCAGAAAATTGTTTGATATAGACACAAGAGTCAGCATGAGTTCTCTTGTACCCATTACTCACCATGAATGAGTTGAACTTCTTATTCCACTGTCTCGGAGCCTGCTTAAGACCATATAAGCTTTTCTTGAGCTTGCACACCAAATTTTCTTTACCTTTGACTTCAAAGCCTTTGGGTTGCTCCATGTATATCTCCTCTTTCTAAATTGCCGTGGAGAAATGCAGTTTTAACATCTAACTGCTCGAGCTCAAGATCCATACTTGCTGCCATACCAAGGATAACTCGAATGGAAGTCATCTTCACCACCGGTGAGAAAAATCTCATCGAAGTCAACTCCTTTCTTTTGACCAAAACCTTTGACAACCAAACGAGCCTTGTACCTTGTCATGTTGTCGTCTCTTTTCAATTTGAAACACCCACTTGTTTTTTCAATGCTTTCCTGCCCTTTGGAAGCTCCACCAGCTCATAGGTATCATTCTTTGATAAGGAATCCATCTCCGACTCCATTGCCTTCATCCATTTGTCACTGTCGTTATGAGCTCTGGCCTCCTCATATGTTTCAGGCTCTCCATAATTAGTCAACATGATATACTCTGATGAAGAATACTTGGTAGACGGTCTTTCGATTTCTGATGGATCTTCTGACCTGATCTTCATTCTCTTGTAGGGCTGGAGGCTCCCCCTGATTGGGTTCTCCTTGAATCTGCTCTTTTGACTAGGCTCCACCTGATCAGCAATCTTCATGGTCTGGCACATCTTGATCAGGCTCCCCCTGATCAGCATTATCTGGTTCTGCAGGCACTTCATTGGCAGCTGCTTCAGGGATGTCATCGTGACTTTCTTCATCTGAAGCTAATGGATCAACTCCTCTGTCTGCGCCATCTGTTGTGCTTCTTTATCCGAATCCCCAATTGTTTGATCTTCATAAAAAGACCACGTCTCTACTTCGAATAAACTTCTTCTGGTATGGGTCCCATAATCTGTAACCAAAATCTTCATCGCCATAACCAAGAAAGATGCACGGTGTAGCTTTGTAGTCTAACTTCGATCTCTGCTCTTTGGGCACATGCACAAAAGCTTTACAGCCAAACACTTTCAGATGAGAGTAAGACACATCATTACCAGCCCATACTCTCTCTGGAACATCAAGACCTAATGGTACTGATGGAGATCGGTTGATCAAATAGCAGGCTGTCCTTACAGCTTCACCCCAGAACTGCTTAGATAACTTTGCAGTCCTCAGCATACACCTGACTTTCTCCATGATGGTTCGGTTCATTCTTTCAGCAACACCATTATGTTGTGGAGTTCCAGGAACTGTCTTCTCATGACGTATGCCATGTTTCACACAATACTCTCTTAAACTGGTGAGATGTGTACTCGCCGCCGTTGTCGCTACGAAGGCACTTAAGAGGTTTCCCAATTTCCCTCTCCACCATGGCATGGAACTCCTGGAATGTCTGAAACACCTGGTCTTTGGATTTCAACAAATACACCCAAACCTTTCGTGAAGCATCATCAATATAAGTAACAAAATATTTATTTCTTCCGAGTGACTCGACTTCCATGGGACCACACACATCTGAATAAACAAGATCTAACAAATTTCCTTTCCTTGTAGATGGAATCGAAAAACTAATTCTTCTTTGTTTCCTAATAAACAGTGCCTCACAAGAGTTTAACGACGTACCTTTGGCAAAGGGAATGTGAGACTTCTTTGCCAAAACCTGTAGGCCTTTCTCGCTCATGTGACCTAGCCTCTTATGCCACAAGTCTAGAGATGAGTCCTCCACAGCATTCAACTCACCTTTTCAAAACCTTGGCATTTGACCGGTACAACGTACAACAAAGTCGTGCTCTTGCTACCACCATTAAGCCTTTAGTAAGCTTCAATTTTCCTTCGCCCAATATGGTGATAATATCCTTGTCGATCAAGGGTACCGATGGATATCAGATTGAGACGTATATCAGGAATATGTCTCACATCTTTCAACATCAATTGGCAGCCGAGATTAGTTCTTAGACATATATCACCAATTCCAAGAATTTTGGAATAGCTTTCATTCCCCATCTTCACTATGCCAAAGTCACCTTCTTTGTATGTACTGAAGAACTCCCGTTTGGACGTAGCATGGAAGGAAGCTCCATTGTCAAAGATCCATTCAATGTCTCTGTCAGAGTTGCCCATATGCAGACATTCACCAACAGACAATATTTCTGGTATATCACCACATATGACAGCAGTGGTATTACCAGTATCATCTTTCTTCTGATTGTTTCCTTCCCTTTGCTCTCTCTTCCAAAACTCGAGACAATTTTTCTTCATATGGCCTTCTTTGCCACAATGGTGGCATGCACCCCTGAACCTTGACTTGGATCGGCTAGAACTCTTGCCATGACCTCTAGGCCCTCTACTCTTGCTTCTTCCGCGGTTCTCTGTGACAAATACTTGGCTGTTATCTGTGCCAGAAGTCTTTCTCCTTGTTTCTTCATTGAGCATGCTATTTTTAACATTATCAAGGGTAAGAACACCATTAGAAGCAGAGTTACTTATACTCACCACAAAGGTCTCCCAACTGTCTGGCAAGGATCCAAGTAACAAGAGCGCTTGTAGCTCGTCCTCGATCGTCATTTTCATAGTAGCCAACTGGTTAATGATATTCTGGAAATTGTTCAAGTGTTCTGCTACACTTAAACCATCCTTGTACTTCACATTGATGAGCTCTTTGATCAAGAAGGCTTTCTTAGCTGGAGTCTTCTTCTCGAACAAGGACTCAAGCTTTGTCCAAAACTCGCGAGCATTGGTTTCATTAGACACATGGTGAAAAAACACTATCGTCCACCCATTGTCTAATTGTGCCAATAGCCTTGCGATTCATCTTCTTCCACTCGGCATCGGACATGCTCTCTGGCTTAGCGGCATCTCCTTCAATTGGCTCATGCAAATCCTTGCAATAGAGAATGTCCTCCATCCTTGGCTTCCATGTTACCCAATTGGAGTTGGTGAGTTTGATCATAGTGCCACTTCCTTCCATCTCGCAGTACGAGCCAACCGGGCTCTGATACCACTTGTTAGGAATGTCGGTACTACAAGATAGAGAATGCACAAGGTAAAGTAGAAAAATGGACACCAAGAATTTATGTGGTTCGGCAATTTATGCCTACGTCCACCAAACAAGGATCAATCTTCACTATATGAAAAAGATGAATACAACAAGAGTAGTCTTACCAAGCCAAAGACAAGGCTTGATGGATACAAGAAAGTATAACACACACTTTCTATCACTCTAAACTTCACTCACACACAATGTGTAGTGGAACACTCTCACTCTCACTCTTGGAGTGGAACTCTAGCTTTGGACTTGATCCTTTGCTACTCACTCTTGGTTCTCAATTGGTTACATCACACCCATATTTATAGGTGAGGGCTTGGCATTCTACTAGTTTCTAGTTCCTTCTTCAAACCTCTAGTATAGAAAAATCTAGACTAGCCACATACTTGTAGCTTCTAGATCTTTCCATTTGCAACCAAGGAAGCTAGTACTCTCTAGCTTCTTCCATCAACTTAATAACATGCTAGAATTGTCTAGCAAGCTCCAGCCTCATCTCTTGCTTACTAGAATAATCTAGAACATTGATCATGGGCTGGACCATATACCAACAGGGTACTCATCTATGAGAAACATTATATATCCTGTGAGGTTACTTGTTCACATGTTATGGGCGACAAGGTTAATTTGTTATGAATAGGATATAAATTTAAATGTTATAATATGACTGGATTAGTAATAACTTGTTGAGACAGTCGCACAAAAACTATAATAATTGATCAGAGTAAATCTCATAGCAAATTCAAATTGATAAAAAAGCAGCTGAAAATGATTATGTTTCCTACTTTTGTAAGAGTATGAGTGGAAAGCAAAAAGAAGGGAAGAAGAAATCTACAGCATTAAAAACTCAATCAAGAAGAAATAGAACCTTGACATTTTGTTTAGTGGAGTTTAAATGAATGAGATCTGAAGGAAAGGAGAGGAGAAGCAATAGAAGAGAATCCAACTATAAAAAGGAAAGTCCTAATCCAATCAAACTCAAGACATGTTGAACTTTGGATGTAATACAAAGCCAACAAGTTATAAGGAGACCGAAAATCTGTAACAAGTTTCAAGGGGATCAAAATATATATGTTGATATCTATTGATATCTATCAACTCAATGTCACACGAACTAAGATGTGCTGAACTTTGGAGGCTTGCAAAATCAACAAGTTACAAGGTGACCAGAAGTATGCTCAATATTCATTGTCCGAGTCCTTTGGCGGAACTATACTAGCCAAGAGGCAAGAGTTCATGTATATGTCCAAATACATTAGCTTCAACCATTGGAGTTGGTAAACATCATCGTAAAATTAGAGCTAATTACTCAAAATGAGGGTGTTTATATTTTTAATTAACATTCAGTTCTACAAAATATTGAGATTAGTTACACTTCTAAGGATGCGAAAAGAGCCACCGCCGTTAACTAATATGAGGAAGGGCAGACCATAATGTGCCGCAAGGGATTTTCTACTTCCTCCCCACCGGCGTGCTTCACAAATTGTGCCGGCGAGTGGAAAAGTCCGTGGCAAACACACAGGATGTTTACCTCGCCATCCCTAGCGTAAAGGATCCCTTTGATTTGTCTTCCGCCCACTCCGGTGGTTCTCAATGAAACCATATCGTCCCCAGAATCAAGTTCGACCATCTTTGAGGGGCTTTCCGGTGTGCTTTGTGAAGGGCCATCCTCTTTTGTTGTAGCCGCTGTTGCAGAGGTGGCCATTAATGGTACTGTGACATTCCTTTGCGAATGTAACGTCTCAACACTTTGTGCTCCTGCATGGAATTCACAGAAGTTCAAATCGTTTGAATGTAAAGATATCAAGAGCTTTGTCAAACTGGCTCAAATCTATATCTCAAACCCCACCTCAAACTGAAGGAAGGGAAACTATATTTTTCTTGATCATTTGAATGTAAAGATATTGTCACCATGAAACTTTGAGATGCTACAAACTAATATTCCAAAAATGAAGAGAGAGAAGAACAACAAAACTCTTTTATCAAGCATGTTCAGAAATCACAATGGTGAATGGAAGGTGACCGGAAGTTAAAAAACCAGGAAGTATATGGGAAAGAATTCCTAAAGTGTTGATTAGAACTATTACTTTATGGTCAACAAAACTAACTCCGGCTAAAATCATGAACCATTTTGTGTCACTTACAAGTTTCCATAGCAGAAAAGTTTCGGAATGTCACTTACACTTTGGGCGTATTAATATATGTTTTGAGTAACTAGGCATCACTATGTAAGAAATACTTCTGAATTAATTACTAAAACGGACTATAAGGATGGCTTATTTGATTTTGTTCATGCACGGTCATGATCATCTTCTAAATTAGGCTCATATGCGCCCTTGTTCTATTATTTTGTCGATACGTTGTTGGATATAAGATTGTTAATTAATATTTGTCAATACGAAATTAATTAGTTTTCTTTTCCCTTTTGATTCATTGTGGGATGCGATACAATCTTTCCTAATTTTTGTCGGCACTCGAATGTTTCCCAAATTCGAAACTCATGTTCTCCAATCATCGCTATCTTTTACATCGTTGACTAAGCAAAAGGAACCTAGATCATCTTTCCCCGTGGACACCTTGTCTTTGTTAGTTCATTTTGTTACATGTTTCATGAACGATTTGAATTCCAACTACCGAAATCGTATCAATTACCCTAACGACCGAATCATATCAATTACCCTAGCGACCGAATCATATCAATTACCCTAACTACCCAATCATATCAATTTTACCCTAACGAGGTATCAGTTACCCTAACTATCCAATTGTATCAATTACCCTAACTACCGAATTGAGTCAATTTTACCCTAACGACCGAATCGTATAAATTTTTTACCCTAATGAACAAATCGTATCAATTGTCCTATCCTATGCACAACATTTCTCTTCCAACAATTCTAATACTTTCAATCGTGACCTTCCAAAGACAATTAGGGTTTCATATTTTCATTTTCAACTAGTTATCCAGTTCCTGTTTCTTTTTAGCTATCTATACACACCATGTATGAACTAAAATAAAAAATCATATGAAAAAGCAGCCTCACACACAAACATAACCATATTTTTCCTCATGCAACTAAATGATTTTCTTTCAACAGAAACACCATGCTGGAAAAATCATATGACAAGATCAAACAATCACAAATTAATCTCAAGCTGAACATTAAAACGGTAAACAAAATAGATCATAGACAAATTATTAGCTTTGAAGTTTGATGTGTAGCTTACCGTTTGCAGCACGAGACACAGTCAAATACCCCTCCGCTTTGTAATGATAGAGTACCGTCTCCAAGGCCCCGGGACCGTTGGAAGCACACGACACACTACTGTCTTTGAGTTCCGGCAGGATTACTGCCAGAGCTGCTAGAGCTGCCGGAGTTGCTGGAGCTGCTGGAGGTGCCGGAGCTGCTGGGGCTACTGGAGCTTCCAGAGCTGCTGGAGCCCTGGCCACCTCCGGCAAAGCAGCTGGTTGCTGCCGATGAGCTATCTTCTGTTTGGTTTCCAGCCTTCTCAAGGCTCGAACGTTCTTGGGCCTGATCACCCACCTCAGACCTTTTTCTGTGGGAAGCGAGCTTGCCCTCGGCAGCCGTACGGAACGAATTGGAGAAACCGCCCTATGCGGCGCCGCTTGGGGTTCCTGAGGCCTCAAGATTGTGGCCACCGATGAGGACCGAGCCAGAGGGTTTTGGTTGGAATTCTCGGGGTAAATCCGGTCGAGAGAGAATTCCAGGTTGAGGTCTGGGACCTGGGAATCGCCGGTGTTTTTTTGCATGGCGGCGTTCTTAGGTTGAGAAACGTTGTCTCTGTTTGCGGCGGCCATTGCAGACACGAAGTGAGCAGATTGGACAGTAAAACGATTGGTTTAAGCCTCTTCTGCAGCAAGAAAAAGCAAAAGTTAGGGCAAAACCATGAAAATTTTGATTGCATGGTTTTTTACAAGGCAGAATTATACGCACAGAAGCCACCATGAAAAAAATGTAATATTTGAACCAAATTTGTGAAACTGCATGCAGCAAGAAAATGAACTCAAGAAAGAGTGAGAAGGTCAGAATACCGAGAAACCCCAAAATTTAATCTTTGACCCAATTTTTACAACTGCAGCAGAAAATGACAAGTGAGAAAGAGAGATAAGAAAACGCAGAAACGGTTACATGGATTTTTGAAATTACCATGAAAATTTCATTCTTTAACCCTAATTTTTAGAAAATGAGAGAGAGATGAAGCAAACCCCAGAAAGGAATTACATGGCTTTTCTAAAATACCATTAAAAATTCAATTTTAACCTAAGTTTTAGAAAAGAAAAAGAAATATATGGAGAGAAAGAGAGAGAAGGAAAAACCAGAGAAAGGCAGGCTTACAAGGGTTTTGTGACAGACTGTTGCTCCTGCAACCAACAACTCTCTCTCTCTCTCTCTCTCTCTCTCTCTCTCAGCAAATACAGAACTGCAAACTGATGTGAGAGATTTGGAGCAGTGTAGGGGGGATTTATATTGGAAATCGGTGAGGAAAAGGTTTTGAAGGTGTTGCAGTGGCTGCATTTCTCAATCCCCACGTGGTTACCAGAGGAGATCACAGTGTTGCAAAGAGACTGGCTCACATTTTCTACGGTTACTCTTTTCATCTCTCTCTCTCTCTCTCTCTCTCTCTCTCTCTCTCTCTCTCTCTCTCTCTCTCTCACATCAGCCTTTGCAATTTGCAGCTCCATGACTTTGCTCCTCTCCCACCACCTGTAACTCATCTTAGCTGTTTCTGCGTTTTCCACTCTTATGGATTTTCGTTTGTAATTGTGAGGAAAATTGAGGGCAGTTTTGATAAGGTTGAGGATTATTGCCGGGCTTTTTGGTTGCTTAAAGGAGTGTCTACAATTAATTGTATAAAAATTGTCATTAGTATTACGGTTTACATGAATATAGTATGGTCTCCCTAGTATCTCTTTGTGTCATAACACATAACGCTATGGTGACTGCTACTCGTGCCATGTAAATATTTTCGTCCTTCAAATGTGAGCAAATTATGTGGAATGAGTTCATCCATCACCATGTCCGACTATACATAGAAAGAAACTTACACACATCTTTGTATCACTAGTAATGCTACAGTGACACTTATGCCATGTAAAACTTTCTTGTTCTTTATATGGTAATAACTTATATGAAACGAGTTCATCGTCATCATGACGTCTCAAATCAAGAATGCCTTGCTAGAAATAGTTATCTATAATAATGCACAACTGAGACTTTACATGACAATAAACTAGTTTTATGTACTCGTTTTCCTTAGTGGAAGGAGTGAAAGTTGCTACGGAAATATTATTTATGTGGGTAATGTTAGGGAGACAAAATTTGCCAACAAAATAATGTGTCACTAATAATAATGAGTACATTTATCAACGTTTAAGTTATAAATCAATCATCAATTTCAATGTCTTTTAGTTTTCAAAATTTGTCTACAACCCTAGCATTACCCTATTTCTGTAATGTAATGGGAACTTGTAACGCATATCATAATTCCCAATGCTAAAGCGAAGCAATCCCCACTTGATATTTCACTATTTTTTAAGAGATTTGTTCACACTTTTTTGTGAGTAATGCTAAGGAGATTAAATTCGCAAACTAAATGATATGTCACTAATAGGAAATGAGCGCGGTTTACAATATTTAAGTAATAATTCAATTATCAAATTCTATATCATTTAATTTACAAAATTTAGTCTTCCTAGCATTACTTATTTTTTATACCTTTTAAGAAAAATTTAATTCAAACTCTTACAATTCAATTTAATCTCATCGATAAAAAAAAAATTGACAAGTTAATTAGATTTCAAAATTTCAAAACAAAAAATTTATCTCCCTCTTTTACACGAAAAAGAGTTTGAAACATGGCATGATCCTTATAAGTGCACTGGAGAACTGACAAATTGACCTAACTCAAATCTACTACATAACGATAATATATCTTTAAAATATTAGATTGTTAATTAAATCAACATCTTTTTTTTTTTCTCTGGGTAGCAAAATTTAGATAGAAAAATTTGTGTCAAGGCAGACAATGAGTCGGTAATTATTAGGTTAGAACTCAATAACGTTATTGTTTCCATAAAGTAAAGATCCAGAAACAGGTTCACGAAATACCATCAATATCTACCGAAGGTGCAGCAATGAAAGCAATAATAAATACAGAAGTTGAGGTCAATAAAGTAGGGATCATCAAAACACCAAACCATCCAATGTAAAGACGGTTTTCAGTGCTGGTTTATCCAGTTACAAAAGCGACGCCATAGGCTTTCACTTTCGCGTCTCTCTAAAATTGCAGTCATGGTAAAATCTTGGTTTATAATTAATAAGGGACTCCCAAGCACACGAATTCTCTATAAATAGATAAAGTGCTAATTAGAAAAAGATCTAACATCTCTAACTCTAGAATCATTTTACTAATTAATTCGAATTGACAATTATATAAAATCACAACACTTTGTGCAAGGAAACCCCCACACCAAAAACTCGGCGTAGACTTTCAGAGCAAAACCCCGCGGCGAGGAAATGAGAGAAGAGTTTCTCTCTCTCTGTGTCTCAGATCCGATTTGACAAGTGTGGGCCATGCAGCAGCAAGCGCCAAGTCATCCAGGCGGGTCCCGTAACTGCCCATAAATTGTCGGGGCCACGGGTTGCACCCCTGGTACGGACGACGTCATGGGGTTGTTGCGTCGGTGTGCTTCGCTGTCCGGCTGCATGCACGGTGGGCCAAGAGGACGTGCCATGCGGCGGGAGCATTGGAAGTCTCGGACCAACTGCTGCCAAGTAGAGATAAAACGTAATGGGGGAACAAGGCCTTGTTTGGGATTTGATTTTAGAAGGGTTGAAAATGCTTTTTTGATATCTTGAAGTGCATTTCATAGAACTAGAAGTAATCTCAAACGAGCCCAATTTTTAAATGAGAGATTGCAAAAATGAGATGTTAAGAGCATATTCGAAACTCACTGACACACACTAGGATCTAATGACGGTAAGTGATAGATTACTCTGGCAGCTAAGATTTTTATCTTCAACACATTACATTCCACGTTCAAAATGTGCCCCTCCCATTAAAGTAGAAATGTTGAAAGTTCGACTCACTTTAATGACGAAATATGTGTTCATTTCAATACATAATTATTGCAAACAATTGTACATGTTACCCCAAATCCTATTTAGTTAAATCTCAACCGTTCACTTGTGAAAATAGAGATGACGTTACCTATTCTTTATATTTGAAAATGGGCCCATAGTCGTTTCTCTTATAGTGAAATAATGGGCCAATGGACCTTACTTATTATGTTCTTCACCTTCCCAATTCACTTGCAATGGCGCTCTGCCCACTCAAACCCCTAATGCGAGTACCCTAAAGCCCAGGCGGAAACCCCTTCCTCTTGTACTCATTGAAGCCGAAGCTCTCTCATAACATCGAGAGAGAGATCCCTTCCCCAGTATCGCTTGTATAAAAAAAAAATTACTTCACCATCTAATGGTGATAGCGAAAAGGTTGCAAGAAAAATAAAATGAATAAGCAATCGATAATTCGCCATTCAGTGTATGAAAGCTAAGTAATTTCATTCATCTCGAAAACTCTCCAATAGAACCACATTCTTATGTTTTGGAAACTCGTTTCTGTTACCAACATCAACATGATCAAGGTAAACTGGAAAACCCTGTAACTTAACAGAATGCTAAATAAATCCGCATAACGAACAAAAGGAACCTTACAGAATTTGCTTCATAAGATGACCTATGACATATTGGAAGAGCTTATATAGCCATCAGATCACCATAACTCCTCATTAGAAGAATCGATCCTGCAAACAGCCCTGCAGCACGCAGCAATTTCTGCAAGATGGAAACACACTTTTAAGTCCTTTGTTTTTATTGGTTTCTCAACAAAAAGGATGTAAATTATGCCTTCTACAAATGAGATAACCATCCGGCATCTACGCTAAGCAAGTAAAGCTCACAGTTCAGAAAGAATGGTAAGAAAGGTTTAACAACAATATAACTTGGGAGTGTAGTGGTGTTCTAGGATTCATACAGTCGACCCCACTTAGTGGGATAAGACTTGGTTGTTGTTGTTGTATAACAAGGGCTAAAAATATAAGGCAACTTTGCAAATCACATTCATCATCAAAATCTAAAACTTTCTAAAGAAGAACAACTCTTGTGAGGAAAAACTTTATGCGGCCTCAGGTCAAATTTCGACAATACGAAGATCAAACTATAACGAAACACGCGTGACCTAAAAGCATACCCATTGTTAAAGGTGCAATAGCCATCATAAATTCTCGGTTAGGAAAATTTATCCCATCTGTAGACCGTAATGTTAATAACTAAATTTCACGCGTCACCTAAATTTCTCGTCTTTCCTGAACAAACCTAGAAGCCACACTTTCCGCCACTTCTAAAGTTCCTAAGTTAACATATTAAGCTTAAGAAACAACAAAAAGAACGACACGAACATACAGAACTGATTAAAAATTTTTGATTGTATCAAATCAAAACACAGAAAAGTCTGATTTGCCGGACACATATGAACCATGAGAAACACTTGTACTCATAACTCGAAAAATTAGCTTTTCCATTACTAATCTCACAACAAGATGCACACAACACAGGCTAGGTTTTCACCAATGCGGAATAAATCTTGCGGGATAGCTGCAGGATACGAGTGGCCAGATAATCACGCAATACAACCGGTTGCCCGGCCACTCACATCCCGCAACCATTACACAAGATTCATCGCGAATCGGAGAATTCTGCATAACAGACATTCCGAAAAATCCATGAATCGCGATCG